TGATGAATATTGTTTTAGTTTGTTTACCCATAGTTATGAGTAGCTAAATCCTTTGTCTAAGGTTTTGATGGAACCTATTGGGGGATGAACTTCTTGTTTATGTGAATACAAATTGCTAGTTCCAATCTCTATTTGTTCAACTATGTGTTTGTTGTAGTTAATTGACAGGATCCTCAATTAGTTGTGCCTATTTAGTGTGCATAACTCGGGAGAGAGTGCATATTTAGGTAATTGTTGAACAACACCACTCCCAAAGTATATGAGGGATCAATAACCGAGTGTTTAAAGGCGGGATTAGGGATAACGAAGCCTTGGGTGTAATCTAAAGTGAATTGTGTTAAATAAAGCAAGCTAGTGTATCTCGGAAGAGTGCAACTAGTAAATTACTGTGATTACTCGGGAGAGATTTACGGTAAGAAGAGCGTTCATGATTGATAGAGATGTGTTGGTAAATTTGTATGAAGCATAAACAGAAGGAATTCCATCAATAGGGGAAATCATTACCTTAGCACTTTCTCATTATTGTTTACAGCTTAGCATCTTTAATTTGTAGCTATTAGTTACTGTTGATCTTAGTTATTAAAAACACCATCAACTGTGATTCTCAACGTTTGGGAAATTGATTCTAAAGAGTTTAGTAGGTCTAAAGATAGTGATTGATAGGTTAATTCTCTGTGGATTCGACTCTGGGCACAATACTCAGGTTATATTTGCAACGTCCACATTGTCCTTTTTATAAGGCATAGTTGGGCGCGATCAAATTTTGGCGTCGTAACCATGGGAATTAACGGAATTATCAATTACCATTGATAGAAATACAAAAATTCTTAGTGTGGTCAGTTTTCTCTCTACCCAATTTTTCATTGAAATTTTGACGGTTGTTGATCTGGTTGCACAGGTGTATGCCTAGAAATTCTACGAGGACTGGAGAACTACTTGAAGGACTCTCAGACCTCGAGAAAAGATTCTGGACATTGAACTGTGCCAACAAAAGACTTCAACAATCCCAACAAACACACAAATTCGAAATTGACATGGGAGACGTAAACGACCCCAACGGAAACGTCAGGAATGAGCAAGTTGGCTTAAATGCCAGAGAAGTGGCACCTCCTGTGCCTGAGGGTGCACTATATGACTGGGCACAACCCACAGCTGACAATCTAGCCACTGCCAATGTTGTGCCCGCAATACAAGCTGAATCGTTCCAGATCACAAATAACATGCTGCACTTGTTGCAAAACAAGGGACTCTTTTCTGGGATGCAAATAGAAGATCCTCAGCAACACTTGAAGAACTTCCTGTCTATCTGCAAAACTCAAAGGCAACCCAACGTGACTCCGGAAGCAATCAGACTGTTATTGTTTCCATTTTCTGTGACAGGAGCTGCTCAGGTTTGGCTAAACTCACTCCCCATAAACTCTATAGAAACTTGGGATGAGTTAGTCAAGCAATTTCACAACAAGTTCCACCCGCCCAACAAAACTGCTCAACAAATTAATGAGATCGTGAGCTTCAAACAGAAACCAATGGAGACACTGCATGAGACATGGGGCAGGTTTAAAGGAATGTTGGTTATGTGTCCCCACCACGGTGTTCCAGAACAGATGTTGGGACAACGGTTTTACATGGGACTGTCAAACAGCATGAAGAATATTGTGGATGCCTCAGCTGGTGGGGCATTCTTGAGCAAAACCTGGAGAGAAGGCCAGAATCTGCTTGACAAGATGGCACAGAATTCGGGGTGGACAACCATGAATGCACCTATCACTCCAGTGGTGCACTCAATGCCTCTTGATCCCTCAAATACCATGGCTGAAAATATGGCGACCCTCCTGACACAGATGAGCATACTCACCAAAAAGGTGGAGGAATCAGGGCAGAAACAGCAAGTACATATTGTAGACACTACCAACGGGGGCTTGTGCACATCTTNACGTACTGGATGCCATGTCGCAGCGAAAGTCCAGATCTCAGAGCCGGTTTATGGCCTGGTTCCGCGCGTTGGGGAGAGCTTGTCATGTCGACCCCAGCACCGTCTCAGACTCCGATTGATGCTTAGGGAAGTCTTCTTACCCTTCTGTTCTTTATTTTTGATATGACATGGGGATATGCCATAATTTTAAGTGTGGGGTGGGAGACTTGCTCTGGTAGTGTATTGTAGTGTATATAAACATTGAGTATGTTGTAATATTAGATTGATGTTGTTGTGTATAATTGACTGTACTCACATTAGAAGTAACTGACTTGGCCCAACGACGGACACTTGTCGACGGGTCTCTTGAGGGTCATAGTCGAATCTAAAAAAAAATAAATGTAGAGGACTCTTCCTGAGGACGAACCACTTGGACAGTACTCTTGAGGAGTAGTCCATGTAGTTCTTAGTTTTATTTTTTAGGTAGTGTAGTAATTCTCCCTGGTTTTCTTTGACCACGGTTCTTTCAAAGGGCTCTTCTTGAACCGGGTTAGGTAGAGTTTTTCTTTTGAGTTTTAGGACCAAGATGGGTGAAGGCTAGAATGCAGCCCCAGATGTACACACCTGAGAATAACAAAAACGAACTGAGGGTGCGACGTCTGGGCTCGTTTGTAGACTCATACTTTGATGCCTTAATTTTGCACATCTTGTCTTGCTTGAACGCTCGTATGAGTGTGTTGATAAACTAATTCGGAATGAGTTACATGCCAAGTGTGTGTGAGCTATTACTTGCATTCTGTGCTTGCATGCGATACCTAGAACTTGCCCTGTGTGTTTGCAAAGCGAAATAGAAGTTGTTTGGTTTTAGAGATGATTGAGGCATTTATTTGTATAGCCTGTATAATTGTGAATACACCTGTACATATTGCCATGGTTAACCCCTTTTTGAGCCTGAAGTATGTTCTTTGATAACCCTATAATAACCTACATCCCTGTGTTTGAGTAGTTTGACTGCTTGAACCTGTACCTTCTAGAAGCACTTGAATTATTAAAGAACATACAAAAGTCAAAGTGTGGGGTAGTAGGGGAGTGGAAAAAGGGGAATCAGGAAAGAAATACTTGAATGGTGCAATGGCTGTTAAAAAAAAGAGAGAGATGAAGAAAACGAAACAAAACAAAATGAATCAAAAAAAAAGAGAGAGAGAAAAAGGTCAGTGCACCTAAAGAAAAGTGGGGGGCAAATATGNTGTGGAAGAACGATTGGGCTGAACATGAAAATTGAAACAAAAGGAAGTTTATATTAAAAGTGCTTAGGGAGGTTAGTCACTATATCCAAATATATCCTACCCGTCCCTTAGCCGACATTACAACCAAATAAAGACCTTTTGATCTTTGACTGAACAGCTCGATTAGTAGAGTATTACACGAGGGGCAAGCCTATGGTGTATCTGTGTGGCATGTGAATGTTCTTTGCTGAGAGTGAGTGAATTCTGACTATCTATGGTTTCTTGTTGCTTAATTTATTGTGTGTGGAACTTCTCTCAGATTTGTGATGTGAGGGCATGTGACTCAGGAAGAAAAAGTGAGTTTTCACCTCTGTTAGAGTAATTAGAGTAAGCACGAGTGTGTCATGGCATTAGAGTCTGCATCTGAGTGTGACTGTTGCACTGATAAGGTTATTCCTTCGTAATGGCGAGTGTGACATAAATTGGGGTAATGTATCAAACGGTTAGGCCTAGAAGTGTGGTTTAACTTGCTCGAGGACGAGCAAAGGTTTAAGTGTGGGGTGTTGATAATAGGTGAATTTAACTATAATTAGGCCCTAAAGAACCACCTTCTTGTATAGTTTTGATGATAAAAGTGATAACCAAATGCTCTCATTAATGTTTTTCATGCTTTGCAGGTGATATATGACAAGAGAAGGCTATGGAGTACTTTTGGGATCAAATATGGAGAAAAAGAGGCCAAACGTAAAATTTTGCCAAGCGAAGCAGCTCAAGCCAAGCCTGAAGAAGGACTGCCGCGGTTCCACCGCGACCGCGGCAGAACCGCGGTAGAAGACGGTCGCGGATAAGTTGAGATTCAGAGAAGGTGTGTGGCCGCGGTTTGACCGCGACCGCGGCAGAACCGCGGCAGAGGCGGAAAAGTTCAGGGACTTAAGTGCAAAACACGGGATTTTTAGCCCAAAACCCTATTTTAAATACTAGACTTCGCCCAAGGAAGGCAAGGATTGTATTGGAGAATATTTTAGCAAGGAAAACAATTGTGAGAGATAACCCAAAACATCTTTCTTCTTTTCTTTGATTTTTCTTGCAAGTTTTATGATGAATATTGTTTTAGTTTGTTTACCCATAGTTATGAGTAGCTAAATCCTTTGTCTAAGGTTTTGATGGAACCTATTGGGGGATGAACTTCTTGTTTATGTGAATACAAATTGCTAGTTCCAATCTCTATTTGTTCAACTATGTGTTTGTTGTAGTTAATTGACAGGATCCTCAATTAGCTGTGCCTATTTAGTGTGCATAACTCGGGAGAGAGTGCATATTTAGGTAATTGTTGAACAACACCACTCCCAAAGTATATGAGGGATCAATAACCGAGGGTTTAAAGGCGGGATTAGGGATAACGAAGCCTTGGGTGTAATCTAAAGTGAATTGTGTTAAATAAAGCAAGCTAGTGTATCTCGGGAGAGTGCAACTAGTAAATTACTGTGATTACTCGGGAGAGATTTACGGTAAGAATAGCGTTCATGATTGATAGAGATGTGTTGGTAAATTTGTATGAAGCATAAATAGAAGGGATTCCATCAATAAGGGAAATCATTACCTTAGCACTTTCTCATTATTGTTTACAGCTTAGCATCTTTAATTTGTAGTTATTAGTTACTGTTGATCTTAGTTATTAAAAACACCATCAACTGTGATTCTCAACGTTTGGGAAATTGATTCTAAAGAGTTTAGTAGGTCTAAAGATAGTGATTGATAGGTTAATTCTCTGTGGATTCGACTCTGGGCACAATGCTCAGGTTATATTTGCAACGTCCGCATTGTCCTTTTTATAAGGCATAGTTGGGCGTGATCACTATTAAATCACTCCCTTCGTCCCAATTTGCTTGATATAATTTAAATTTCGAGAGTCAAACGAGTTCTTTGATCATAATGTTTTCATATGCCTTTTAAAAATTTTGAATTGCTAATTATTGTGAGTTATAATGCTTTTTATGTAGTTTTTAAATATGTAAATTGTATTTCCAAAAGCTTAAAGATTCTATATCCGAATTCACGATCAAATTGCAAAGATTAACTTTTGAAATCCAAACTATGTCACAAAGTTGGGACGAAGGGATATATGAATGCAAATTAATGCTACTATATACAAGGGAAATGGTCCATAAGTGGCTTCCACATGTTACACTTTACTTATCACCATTGCTCTGTATCTGGTGATCCACTTGCTCCTTCACTTGCTTCTTCATTCTCTTTCGACATTGATCTGGTTTCTCTAAATTTAGTCACCAAAGTAGTTAGGATGGTAACCCGGCAGATATGCAGAATTTGATGAAGCAAACTTTTAACGACGATAAATCAGGCAACAACAAAAATATATGAAAGGAGTAATTATATAGGACACAAACATTATGTGGTTCAGTAATTAAACCTATGTCCACTGGTGGTGGAGATGAAAAATCTCCTAATATTCGAAACAGAATGAAAGAATGTAGTAAAATATTAAAGTCAATACTCTAAATTATTCCACATAGCACGAGAGAATAATGTATTGTTTTGTCTTCCCAGTCTATTTTAAGTCTTAGTGGGAATAGGTCATCAAACTTGTATATACTCTGTAAGTACAAGAAAATTACGTGTTTCCATTATTAGACTTCATTTACCACTATACGTACATCTCTTCACAATTCAAGGGGGTTTAATACAAATACATATAGACATTTTTTTGTTCCTTTTTATATGTATAAAATAGTGCACTTTTTTCTTTCGAAAAATAGTTGACGTAACCCCTTTGCTCCCACTTAAATCTGCTCTTGCTTGAGAGGCGTAACTAACTGCTAAAATTGAGAAAACTACCCTCTATAGCCCCTCAAAATTTTAATAGCCCATATTTTGTACCACTTACAAAAAATGGCCCTTCGGCCCAAATATATTGGATATAGTAGCCTAAAGGAATTAGTATGACAACACAAGCGCTTGTAGCTTAGTGGATAGGGCGTCTATTTCCTAAGCTAAAGGTTGCAGGTTTGACACCCACCTGGCGCCATAGAGCAACCCTTTTTTGCCTTCGGCCCAAACATATTGGATATAGTAGCCGAAACGAATGAGCATGACACAACAAGCGCCTGTAGCTCAGTGGATAGGGCGTCTATTTCCTAAGCTAAAGGTCGTAGGTTCGACTAGGGCTGTGCATAATTTGGTAAATACCGAATTACCGTACCAAAATCGAAAATTTTGGTATTTGGTATTTGGTATGGTACTTGGTTTAAGTTTTTAAAAAAATTGGTATTAGGTATGGTATTTGGTATTTTAAATTAAAATACCGAAATACCGATACCGTACCGAAATATATATTATATTACACAAAACATATATTATCAATTATAACATGAATATAAAAAATCTAAAATTTTACTTTCCTTTATTCTCTAAGTTCATCAATTAACTTTAAACAAGTAACAAGACATTTCTAACGATCAAATATTCTTTTATGTATAATTTTCTCTATTTGGGTCGATATTTACTGGTTTTGGACAAATTTTTTGTCAACAAACATTTTCAGTTTTGTATTTTTGAGTAATTTAATTAAGAATATTAGAGTCTATGGCTCTATGCACTAGTTAGTATTCAAACCGAATAAACCGAAGTTACGGAACCGAATAAACCGAAACCGAAAGGAGAAAAACCGAACCATACCGAATTTAATTAGGTACGGTATTGGTATAGGATTTTAAGAAACCGAATACCGAAAATACCGAACCGAAATGTATAAATACCGTACCATACCGACCGACGAACACCCCTAGGTTCGACCCCTACCTACCGCGATGGAGCAACCCTTTTTTGCCTTATTAAATTGTATTTTGTACTTCTGGATCTAATAATATTAGCTATGAATTGAATAACAGTCTATTTTGTATATTTTTTTGTATAGTAACAGTCTATTTTGTATAGTGACAGTCTATTTTGTATATTTTTTGTATAGTAACAGTCTATTTTGTATAGTGACAGTCTATTTTGTATATTTTTTGTATAGTAACTGTCTATTTTGTATAGTGACACTCTATTTTGTATAGTAACAGTCTATTTTGTATAGTGACAGTCTATTTTGTATAGTGACAGTCTATTTTAATTTGTATATTTTTTGTATAGTGACAGTCTATTTTAGTATTTTTTTTTTTGTATAGTGACAATCTATTTTAATTTGTATATTTAAGTTTGAACATATTTGAGGTTCCTCAGAATCTGCAGTCCAATCAGATAAACCTAAGGCATAGAAGATATCATCTGCCACTGAGAACTGTAATTGGTGTAAGTTGGCCTTCCATAAGAGAGTCACCCGCAGCTTCATTCGACGATGGAGCTCTGGCTGGCCATATAAATGCAGGTTTGACAGCAAGAATAATTGGTAGAACTGATTCCCCTGTTAGAATCTGTAAAGCAGTTTTCATGCTTGGCCTTTCATATGGATTCGGATGGCAGCAAGCCAATCCTAACATTAGCACACATTCTGCTTGCCCTTCATCAAAATCTCCATCCAATCGAACATCTATGGCATTAATGATCCTTTCACTCTTTTAGAGATCCCATACATATTCAATGATTCTGTTGCTGTAGATATTCTCCTCATTTTGGTTTCCAGGTTTTCGACCACAGGCAACTTCATGAATGAGCACTCCAAATGCAAACCATTTTTCAACAATTTTTCTTACTATTTTCAGGTTTGACTATGGCGGATGAAAACATTACCAACGGCGAGGTTTATGACGATGCGCCGGTGGAGATCGCCGTCGACGAAACATCTGATGTTGCCTCGAAAACATCTGCACTGAAAGAGAAGATAGCGGCACTGGAGCAAGAGAAATCCCAGCTTCTTCACGAGAACGATGTGATCAAACAGCGAATCGAGAAATTGAAGAGCTCAATCGAGGAGTCCAGAACAAAAATTCGAATTGCTGAAGAAAAAAAGCAGAAAGCAATACTTTTGGGCTAGCCACTGTAATTATTTTGGGCTATAAAATGTGTATTGTAATTTTGTAAAAATTACACGGGACGCCCCTTTTAACCTGTAGCCGCTTTGTCTTTCTGTTTGCACTCGTACCCACTTTTTAAAAAACTTCAGCTTCCCTTTCTCCTCCCCTTCTCCTCTTCTTCTTCTTCTTCTTCTTCTTCAATACCACAGTTCTTGCTCTTCACTGTAGTTAGTGTTTTGAGATAAGCCTTTACAAATAGAATATGAGATTGGAACTTGCTAGTTTCATGCTTTGCGGTAACTGAATAAGATAGATTTTCTGGATTTAGCTTTGCACGATATGTAATCGTCAGATTTTCATTGACCATTCTAATAAATTTTAACGGGAAATAATATGTAGCTACTTAAACATGATATTTCAAGACTATCTGCCAAAAATTGCTAGATATTTCCATATAATTCCTTTGATGAATGTACAAGAAACAGTACAAAGAGCTGAAGTTTTTATTTTATAACTGGCAAACTTCAGCTGTAGAGCTGAAGTTTTCCGGTTACAAAGACAAAAACTTCAGCTGAAGTTTTCCAGTACAAAAGAAAAACTTCAGCCCCGTGGGCTGAAGTTATGTGAAAAAGCGGGTACGCTTGCAATTTTTTTTGCAAAGCGGGCACAAGTTAAAATGTGGCACAAAAAACAGGTATAGATGCAAATGCCCCTGTAATTTTGGGCTACCGGATGTTATAGGTTTGGCCCGAGTGGCTATAAATAATATTTGCTCATAAAATAATGTCTAAATATTAATTAAACTGCCATATGGGACGGCCAAAGGGTGAAGCCACTAAAGCAGGGGCTTTAGGCCCCATAATTTTAGGTCCCCCATTTTTTTTCTTCAATTCTTACTCGATGTCCGATATTTGATTTAGGACCTCGACTAATTCGAATTTGTAAAGTCCATTAAAGTTGGAATCGCTCCTTAAAAAGAATTTTTCCGTTCTCAAGAATTGAATCGAATACCTTTGGTTAAGGGAAAAAATATTTTATCCATCCCACTACGCCTCTTCTGGTGAGGCCATAATTTTTTTAGAAAATATTAAGTATTTTAAAGTAGAAAAGTAAAATGTCTTATATAAAATATAAAAAAATTACATTTATCATTAGAAAATGAGCAATACACTTTTAAACCCCATCTTTTATTTGTTTTTGTTTTTTCTCAGGTTTCCGTCATTGCAACAAGTATATTGAAATATCAAAATATTATTTTGATATAAAGTTATCAACTTCTTGAATAGAGTTTTATTATTATTTTAGTCACTAAGTAAAGAGTTACAGATCTTAGCTAAGCTATTAATTCTGCTAGCTATTCTCAGAAAACAGACACTATGACTAACCATCCCAGTAATCTTTGGTTTAAGGGTAAAGATGCACACCTCCTGGGAGGATTCTATTACCTAGAGATCAATAATGTCACAGGAGAAATTACACAGTTTATGCAAAAATTATTAAAAATTTTATTCTCAAAAAGCTAGAAATATCTACTTCAAATAAAAATGGATAGAAACTTTTATAAAAAATAAGGCCTCCTATTAAAGTTTGGCTTTAGGCCACCAAACTTATTGAGTCACCCCGCATATGAATAAAGTGGAGCGAATAACTAGTTATAAGTAAAACTGTTGTCCCTTTTATCTTATATTGATTTGTCATAGTCGTGAACAGCAAGTAAGATTAATAAGTATCTAAATATTATTCATAGTAAATTAAAGTGAATTATATGGAGCACCATGAGTAGGCGTGTTATAAGTAAAATTTTCTACAATCTAAGACAAATTCCCGGCTGACATAGAAGTCTCTTGCGCAGGCGGAAGAGATGCATTCTTGCTCGGAAGGAACCTTCAATATTCAATCTCACGTAGAACCTGCTTGAAGTCGATTTTTCCTCGCTTTCGAGAACTGCATTGTTATTCATCCATCTCTAGAACTACGTTTGGTTTAATCAATATAATAGCTGGACTCGAATTTACTGAAGACACATACCCAAAAATAATACTATCATCTTAAAAATATCTTTGAAACAATTGTCTTACCATAAACGGCCTGGTCTTTCAGAAGTGGTGTTAAACCACATATATTGGCGAGAAGTAAGCCAATCTTCTGGACACATTAGACATACAATTCAATGCCAGCCCAAACAAATGAAAACTATAAATCTTAAGTAGAATTTCTCTCTCTATATATATAGTCTAAATCACTCTTGACAAGTCAATGTTTCTAGATATATAGAAGGAAAGTTGTTATGAAATTTCTCCAGAAACTGCTAGTCATTAAATTACAAATCTAGACCACAAAAAAAGGTCCATACTTGACTTCAAATTAAATATGTACTATAACTTTTTTTCTTTATCACATTTACTCTGTCTCGTCAGGAGTCTTCATTTACTCTTCTCTTCATTTCCCTACGTCTAGAAAAAAAATGTTGAAAAAAAAACAATCTTTCTAAAGATAAGACAGCAGATCTGTTGCGATATCATGAGTTAACTAGCACACAATCACACACAAAGCAAATAGAGAAGAAAAATCAACACAAGGATTTAACGAGGTTCGGCTAAGCCTAATCCTCGGGGCAAAAGAAGAGAGAGTTTTCCACTATGAATGAAAAGAAAAGCACAATACAATCTTTAGAATCCCCAACTACAACCCCTATATATAGATCCCAAAAGGTCCCAAAAATTTGACAAGGACTATAGGTTTTCCTTTCCCAAATCTATGAGGACAATGGGTTTTCCTAAACCTATAGGGATTATGGGTTTCCTAAAAATACAAGGAAATAATTCAAGCCACAAATAACAAATCTTCCCCTTGGCTTGAATTCTCTTCATCAACAGGAACAATATCTCTCTACCTTGCCCTCAGCCCTTGCAAGGGCTCTATTGGGTACTGCACACACCAATCAAGTCTAGGTAATGCCTAAACTTGTTGGCCGGGACTGCCTTGGTCATCATATCAGCTAGATTATCATTCGTAGATACTTTCTCCACTTTAACAACCCCTTTGATATAATGTCTCGAATAAAGTGATGTCTGACTTCAACATGCTTCGTCCGCTCATGAAACATCTGATTCGTAGTAAGATGAATAGCACTCTGACTGTCACAAAAAACTTGTGTCTTCTTCTAAGCTAGTCCAAGATCACTTACCAAGCCTTGTAGCCAAATAGCCTCTTTAATTGCTTCCGTAATTGCCATATACTCAGCTTCTGTGATAGACAAAGCAACGACAGACTGCAAAGTCGCCTTCCAACTAATGACACTACCAGAAAGAGTAAAAATATAGCCTGTCAGAGATCTTCTCTTATCCAAGTCCCCTGCATAATCTGAATCGACATAGCCAACTAAGGATTCACTCAACTTGTCTTTGTAAAAAGTCAAGCCTACATCTTCAGTACCCTTCAAGTATCTCAAGATCCACTTCACCGCCTGCCAATGTTCTTTACCAGGACACGCCATGTATCTACTCACAACACTAACAGAATGTGAAATGTCAAGGCGAGTGCAAACCATAGCATACATAATGCTACCTACAACACTCGAATATGGAACACTAGACATATGTTCCATCTCCTCGTCTGTTTTTGGTGACATGTCTGCAGACAACTTGAAATGGGAAGCAAAAGGACTAGACACAGATTTAGCACATATCATATTAAATCTCTTGAGGACCTTCTCAATATAGGACCGTTGGGACAACATCAGCTTTCCAACCCTTCTATCTAGAGTAATCTCCATCCCCGATATCTTCTTTGCAGCACCTAAATCCTTCATCTCAAACTCCTCACCTAGTTGCTTCTTCAATCGGGTAATATGTGACATGCTTTTAGCAGCAATAAGCATGTCATCCACATATAACAATAAATATACACTAGAACCGTCTTCAAGCCTTTTATAATACACACAACTATCATATGCACTTCGAGAAAATGCATTTTGAATCATGAATGTATCAAATCTTTTATACCACTGCCTAGGCGACTGTTTCAGACCATATAAAGATTTCTTAAGCAAGCAAACATGATTTTTCTTATCCTGAGTAATGAATCCCTCGGGTTGACTTATATAAATCTTCTCATCCAACTCACCATGCAAGAATGCAGTTTTCACATCTAACTGCTCTAGTTAAGTCATGAAGAGCCACCAAAGCTAGTAAGACCCTGATAGAGCTATGCTTTACCACTGGAGAGAACACTTCAGTGTGATCTATCCCCTCCCTCTGTGAAAAACCTTTAGCTACTAATCTTGCTTTGTACCTTGATGCTTCAACCCCTGGATTGCCCTCTTTTCTTTTGAAAATCCATTTGCATCCTAGTACCTTCTGTCCCTTTGGCAATGGAACAAGCTTCCATGTCTGATTCTTATGAAGAGACTCAATCTCTTCACTCATAGCACCAACCCACTGATTTGCTTCTGGACTAGAAATAGCTTCTTTATAGCTATTAGGCTCAAGCACATCAATGGTCTCTGCAACAGACAAAGCAAACTCCATAAAATTAGCATATCCAAGAAAATTACCATCAGCTACGTTTGCAAACCTTTGTGGTGGATTGATCACTCTCTTCTCTCTGCCTGTTGCAATGCTATAGGGTTGTTGCGCAGGTGCATCAACATTATCGTCTTGATCAATATTTTGCACCTCCTCCACTTCCTGTACTTTAGAACTACTGGGCTGAGCTAGTGGAGATTCAATTTCTAGCTCTATGCGGTCACTGACACCACGATCTGCTTCTGCTATTGCCTTCTCCCTCTGACTGTCCAGTGAGGCAGATTCATTGAAGTTTCATCCCTACTGATAATTAGCCGGGAGTCTTTTGATCTGTGCACCACAACCTATAACCTTTCACTCCAATTGCATACCCTAGAAATATGCACTTCTTTCCCCTCGGCTCAAGTTTTCCATCCCTCACATGAGCATAAGCAGGACAACCAAATATCCTTAAATTTGAATAATCAGCAGGCAAACCGGACCATACCTCAAAAGGAGTTTTGAACTCAATAGTTGTGGATGGAGATCTATTGACCAAATAACAAGCTGTATTGATTGCTT